ACCGCTAAAACGCTGCGAACTTCACTGTCGGGAGAGTCATTTTATCACGAGCCCTTTTAGATCAGATCTTGCTTGAAATAAACTGGAAATTGCTGTGCCGTACGACCAGACTTGTCTGAACGGAAGAATTTACAAGCTTTTCGCTAATTCAGTAATTTTCACCCAATATAAATGCTGACGTCAACTAACCGGGAAATGCCAAGCTTTTCTCGTTGTCTAGGCATTTGCTCTTTAGCAAGTGTGAGTGTGTGTGCATGCGTGTGTGTCTGCGCGCATCTGTGTGAGAGCAAGGGAGAAGAGAGAGATAAGTAAAAATAAAAGATAATAAAAAATGCGAGTCTGAGATTTTCTGTATGTACTTCAGTATTCTTCTTCTATGCGCCGTGTCCCTTCAGGACGTGGGCTATCATGGCTCTCCACAACTTCCTGTCCTCTGTAGTTTTCACTATAGATTGTTCTATTTTTTTAGATCCCGTCTTATGCCTATTCTGCCAGCCATGTACACAAGCCCGTTAGGCACGTAATGCGATGCTTTCTTCTGTCCATTTTGCCTTCAATATGACCTGTGAGTGTCAAATTTTCCAAACCCTCTTTCCTCGTTATGAATTTAGAAATTTCAATTGTCGTTTCGTGATTCTAAGTATAATTGCTTCCATTTTCCTAAAAATTCGTCGTTGCTCACAAGTCTAGTTCACATGATTCTCATGAATTTTCTGTAGAATCACATTTCTGTTGTCTCAAGTCTCCCCTTCATCTGGGAGAAGATTGTCCAGCATTCACTGTCATATCGGAAGGCTGATATTACATAACAGTTCAGTAATTCTTTCCTTATTTCTAACCTATTCTGCTTGTTACTTAATACTCTCCTTTAGTTTTTGGAAGGCATCTCAGACTAATGCAGCTTCTGATTTCGATGTGGCATTTTGTGTCCTCTGTTAAAACACTATATAGATATTTAGATAAGTCGAGTTTATAAACACTAGAATTTAAGGCATTTTCAAAACAATGTGGTTCATTCGTAACGAGATATCAAATCAAAACTCATTCAAATCTTAATTTAATCTTCAAATCTCACATACATTAGAATAACTTCATGTTGGTACATACATATATATATATATATATATATATATATATATATATATATATATATATATTCCATGTATGTATGTATTAAATGAATATAATTAAATGCCCATTAAGATGGTTGTATTCTGATCAATCGAAATTCGTAAATAATTATATAGGCCACACTACAACATGTTTGACACACAGACTCACTCTGCACTTTTCTGACGAAAGCTCAATTAGATCTCATTTAAATATCCATGAAGACCTACCGGACACTATTCGTAACATACTCGTTGACAATACAAATATAATAGCATCATCTACATGCAAAAAAGACTAAAAATAATGGAAGCCTTATTAATAAAAACAACACTTAATAATATTAACTTTGAACACGGACATAATATCTTGACTATGTTTTGAAAAAAATGAAAACATTTTATAAAAACGCACATACAACAAACTATTTCTTATTTAACAGTTAAATATTTCATCCTTGAAAATAGCTAAATGTATAGCCGAAAGCGCTCGGATAAAAAGAATATTCGGACAGTTTTTATATAGTTTATCATCCGAAAAGAAAAAAAATTATTAGATCGCATGAGAAATTGTATAAAAAACTAAATAAAAGCACCTTGTCTGTCGTATTCAATGACATTTGTATATAAAGAAAAAAAAAAATGCAAACACACACACACACACACACACATACTTATATATATATATATATATATATATATATATATATATATATATAAAAAAATATATATATACATTGCTTGTTAACCTTCTTAGCTGAATGGGTTAAATAGGGAACTTTTTTTGAATCCTTCTTTCTAAATAACTTTTAAATTCAAAACTCTGAAACCTTAATAAATAGCGAATATAAATATTCTTTGTATTCAATTCAAGAGAAAAATTTGTTGGTTCTGCAAAAAAACATAGGCATCAAATCATATGCGTAGGTATTGTGTCTGTTTTTTGTTCCTTTAGAACAATGAAACTACTGTTCTGAATACGGCATTTCATTTTTGGAATATTTCTATCATATATATATATATATATATATATATATATATATATATATATATTTATAGATCGAATTGAAGCAATCGGATATCTGAATATTCTCCCATTACCTGTGAAAAAAAATGTTAGTTCTCTCTTTCATGATGGTCTATATATATATATATATATATATATATATATATATATATATATATATATAATGGATCCTACTTTTAGTCTTTATAATTAAGAAAGGTTTTATCCTAAAATACAAATAAAAATTCTCATTTGGTATTTGTTTGGAAAGTCAGGGGTCAGAAAATTTTCAATGTTATTGTAGATAGATATATTTATATCGATTTCTTCATTTGGCCTGGATAATTAAATTTCATTATTTAAAAATCCATATTTCAATTGAACCTTTTATTTCGCTCAATTCGGGGTAGATTTCTCTAGTTCTACCAATTTTTTGGATGTCAAAAAGTCCTGTTAATTCCCTCTCCAAATTCTCCACTATTGAATAAAAATTGAACTCAAGCCATTTGGATCATGTCAAAAATTATCTAACCAAAAATTATTTATTCACTGTGCCATGTGTAAAAAATCCAGCATTTTTATATAACAGATCGCTATCGACATTGTTGCTTGAGATTCATTCGGATTAAATTTTGAATCAGAAACCATTTGTTCACATTTTTTTTAAACCATTCATTCTTTTTAATCCATGTATTTATGTTCAATATTATATATTAAATCATATATTTTCATATATCTTCCTATCTTTTATAGTTCATGATAATGTTTATCCCTTGTTCTACCATCATTTTACACAAAAAAAAGTAACTTAAGGAAGGTTAAACTAATAGAATAATCAATGATTTTGTTTTGGTAATGAATATAAAATGAACATTTGAATCGCCAACAACACATATAAGATTTTTCATCTTACATATAAAAAAGTATTCAACTTCTAGAAGTGAGTCAAGTGAATTCCTTAATGAATCTCAACTAAAACCAACATACAGTATTTACTACTGTATTTATGTGAATTTTACATACCCATTATTGTCCATGGGTATGCTATAACAATTGATAATTGACTATTTTACGTTTCAAAAAATGTTTTTGTTACAATATTCAATCTAAACAGTGTCATTTCAAGAAATAGGTAGTTTCCCATTATCCTCTTTTTAATTCTAAGTAAAGTATATTTAATATTTTTTGCTTAAAATATTTTTTTTTTTTGAAATTCCTTGTTGTCCATATAATCTGTCCAGATATAGTCTCAGCATATAAAATGTACAACTAATACATCTCTATTTTCAAATTAATTTCTTCATATATAACTATTAAAATTATATTCCAATATTGATATTTGTCTTTTCATTTCCTTTCAATTTTTCTTGTTTTTTTCAAAATTCACCGCCTTTAAAAAAAAAATTTCATTGGCAAATTATTTAACATTAACTATTTTAAATATATGGTTTTTCCTGTCTTTTGAACAAATATTTTCTATAACAATTTCTTGTATATTAAGACAAAAAATAAATGTTTTAATATTAAATATTATAAACAAATATTTTTAATTAAAAAAAATATTTTATCTCTAAAAAAATTTCATCTATATTCTTAAAAAACATAAAAAATGTCTTAAAATAATTGTCGGACTTTTTTCCATTTTCATAATTTTTTTCAGCTTGCATAAAAAATTTTGTCTTAAAAATTTTTCCAAAATTTTAATATATCTTTGAGACTTCAAATTTTCTGTAATGGATTTTTTGTTTTAAAGCTGATTAATTTACCACCACTAGATAACTCTTTGTCTTTTAAATCTATTGTTATTTTTTTCTTCTTGCTTAAATCCTTCTGAGAGAAAATTCAATCAAAAATTGAAAAAAAATTCCTGATGGTTCGAGGCTAAAATTTTTATTTTATATACCCCAAAATAACAACACTAATGGGTTTTCCCAATCCTATAAATATGTTGGATTTTCAATTGATTAATTTTAAAATTCATTGTCTAAAAAGAAAAACTAGAGTGGTTTATCTAATTTTTCATGCCGGAATGAAAATTGTATTTTGTTGATGTTATAAAGATTACCATTTCATTTCCAACCTTCGTTTTGATTTTCATTATTTTTCAGTAACCTTTTTTAAAATTATTAGTTTAACAATCATAGGACAAACACACAGACAATTATATATATATATATATATATATATATATTTTTGAAATATATATATATATATATTTTATATATATATATATATATATATATTATATATATATTTACGATAAATCATTAAAATTAAATAATTTCAGATAATTTTTTAAATTTTAATAAATCCTCTCGTAATTAAATCAATTCTTTAAGAAATTTTAAAAAGAAGAAAATTTTAATCAATGCATATTCATTTTCTTCAATCTTTCAACATTAGCTGAATGTCGTCATCATTCATCTGAAACAAAATAGTTGTGTTCATCTAAAAATTAAATTTTAAATATATGCATATATATTCCTATATATATATATATGTGTGTGTGTGTGTATTGATAGTAGATAATATATATATGTGTATATGTGATAGATTGACAATGGATATGTCCCAATCCTCATAAATATGTTGGACACTATTGTAATATTTAGATAATATAAATATGAAATAGATCTAAACTGTAGTCCACCACTAGCAGTGGTTTACCTACTTCACGCCTGCTTGGCGAAGATTGTATTTTGTTGATGTTATAATGTTAAAAATTTCATTTCAAACCTCCGTTTTTTGGTTATTCCTTATTCAGTAACCTTTTCTAGGTTACAACAGTCTACTTATTATTAATAATCCACATCACTTCGCTCTGTCCTTTTTAGATATCTTAACAATACGTCTTGTTTCTGGCATGCCTCAAAAAACTAACCTCC